ATCTTTACCCCTTTCTCAAAGCGAGCCAATCTCATATGCCTGTCTGTGTGACGTCACACAGGTGAAGAGAATGCGCCCCCGATCTACATAAATGCGTCTATGTTCGCGCAAATCAATCGTGATCCAGCTTCACCTACAGAATAAGTGAGCGTAAGTTTTTTTTTTATGTATCTTTGCAAATTGCCTTTCCTAATAATGTGATAATTAGCAAGTTTCACGATGAATGCGGCTAAAGTAAACAATCCCTCAGAGAGCAGCTCGGAAGAGAGGGGCGGGGTCAGCATACCTCATTAACATTTAAAGGAAAATGCTACAAAACGGCTTGCTCTGAAAAGAGCTGTTTTTGACAGGGTAAAAAAAGGTGTTTTTGCACTACCATTGAGAAATTTTAATCAAACTATGTTACAGACTTTTCATTAAGACCCTAAAGAATCATATCAACTTGTGGAAAATGGGCATCCTATGACCCCTTTAAAAACTAGAGAAACACTACAAGTGAACTTACGAATAAAAACATTAAGTACATAATGAAAAATGGATATTGATTTTGAAATTTGCTAAAGATTACAATGTTATTAAATTATTCGAGATTTTTAAGATTCCCTTTAAATAAGCATTAGATAACAGCAAAATAAATCTATCTAGGAAATATTAAAACGGGGAAATCAGTATGCACTATTACATATTTTGAATAACATTATTTGATGAAAATTAATACTTAAAAAAAAAGAAAATGGTACCAATATATTGTGTGTTGTTATTCAATATTACAATTATGTACAAACCAAAGTTAGAATGGAGCTGTAAGCAAGTTGGGATGAATTAATTGCAGAAATTACTGAGAAGAAAAGAAAGAATTAATAGTACGAAAAATATCCATACAAGGACAGTAATTACTCTGCTGCCATATCACCATATTACAACACATTCCACAATGCCATTTCTAATTACAATTCAATGGATCTCAAAAAACATACTGCTTCTCAATGAACTTCCTTTAATGTAATTGAATCATTTTGTGCTTGCATATACGATTAGTCTTCCAATGACACAGGCTCAGTCTCAAAAGGGGCTTGCTAGTGCAGCATAACTTTATTGCTTGCTGAATCAACAGTCTTTGAACACTTAATATTTCTCATGGATCTTCCCATTTAATTTTCATCACAAAAATGGAACACTGTAGTTTGCCAAACTCAGATTACATTTCTGCCAAACTAGAGGAGCACTGACGTACTCTATATTTCTCACAGCACTGAAAGGAATCTAATGCAATAATGTAAAAGGAATAGGGCTTTCTGTAATGCTACAGTAAATGTCATATTTACATTGTCTTAAAAGGCTTATGTTAATATATCTTATATATTATAAAATATAATATTATTATTGCACAAATCTCTGATGTAATCTTAGAAAATTTGAGGCCCACATTTAGCTAGCATTTTAGTAGATGTTCTTAATGGAAATAAATGTGTAACACCATTATCTCCATAAACTGAATGATGAAATGGTAGAGTATCTGCATTTCTACTAGTGAGATCACAGCATAAAACCAGCTCACAGAACACATACTGTGATTCCATTAACATACAGTCTGCATGCATAATTCAGACACCTGGCTCTCTCGTTGACTGTCAGGTTATCAGACTGCTGTCTGTGTCTTGACTCTTTCTCGTACTTGCTTTATCCATCTATCTCTCTCTCTTTCTATCTCTGTCTCCATAGATACGCAGACAGTTTTACTCATCCCTGCTTCAACCAATTGTTCAGGGATTGAAGCTCGCAGGAGTAGGTCAGTCTGTGTTGCACTTGGCATGAGGTAAAGGCAGCCGGTGCATTAAAAGACCAATTTTGGGTTAACATTCATCTAACCTTCAAACAGGGACCGCAACACAACACATAACACAGACTATGAAATTTTTTTTTTTTTTGATGGGGTAGGAGGTGGAGATATCCCTTTGTTAAAAAACAGGCACCCAGTCTATTGGGCGAGAGGGTTTAAGCAGGGCTCCAGACTGTGACTAAAATAGTCACAAATGTGGCAAAAATAAATAAATAATAATAATAATAATAAAAACTGTAACAGCATCTTATTGGCATCACACAACACAGAACAATCCATGATCAATGCCCTTATTAGCTGATTCTTATTAAAGAATCAGTCTCGATCTCAAATTTTTGAGACACTTTGAATCGATCTAACAACTGATTGAATGAACCGCAAGCCATTTTTGGTCATGTCTAATTTGAAATGTACTTATTTACCAGTTGGTTGTTCATATGACCATGTCAACGTTACACATTCAGAACAGAATTTATAATAAATGGCTTTCCAATTAAAAAAAAATATTATTTATGGTTTATAATTTTAGCAGGCTTGTATTTTACATTACACAACAGAATTGCAAAACACACAAATACAAACATAATCACTGTGACATCTAAACATTAAACTAAACATAATTGGGAAACTTGCTAGTTTAAATACCCAAACATAGTGATAAAAATAAGCATTTCAATTTAGATTTAATTCACTGCAGCAAAGTAACATGTAAAGTCAATGCACTATTTTACTTTATCTAAGCTGAGCGATTTGGCCGTTTAGTCCTAATTTTATAGGAGCCGTGTTCCAAGATCTTTTTTTTAGTATGGATACCCATTTATGCTTGATCAAATATTGTGACTGGGATATAGAGAAGCAAACAAGCTGTCATTTAGCTGTGAGGGATTTTATGACAGTGCTTTGAATATAACCGCATCCTCACTATCAAATCAACATATCAGTCTTAGACTGCAAACATTAGGGGAACTGACCTAAATAAAGCTGTTAGCCACCAACTGCATCCCCATCAACTGCCCAGTAAATCATAACTACATCACCAAATCAGCAAAAACATCTCTTATAGATGCACTGTCACTGACAAACATCTGAATACACCTGCACTCCACCACCATCAAACCACACGCACTCTTTCTTGACAAAGGGCTGACAGCATTTACCACTGACATATCAGCAGTGAGTAACCAATAAAGGCAGGCAGCCAGTGGAGAGCTGAACTCAATGGACCTCATTCATTTAGCATCTACAGGACAGAGCAGGCTGAAACTTTTGCTGACTAGCCACTTCCCAGGGTCCCATCAATCTACAAAGCCTTCAAACTCCCCCTGAAATGGACCTATGTGATCAAACTGGCCCAGTGACGTAACTGTTACTATTCTTACTGGGGTGATCCTTACCTCCAGGGAGCCTGACGTCTGCTGCAAACATATTGTAAAATGCTGCTTCTAAAAATAACATAATGGAGCAGCAAGTATCTGGCTCGTAAAGATAGGAACAATGCTTAGTAATTAAGTATCTTCTTGAGGTCAAAACGCTACTAAAAGTAGTGTGGCTTATTTCCTAACTGCGTGTTAGGACAGGGCTCTTAGGAGCCCACTTCTATTCAATACCAGATTTGGATTCACAGTAACAAAGTTGATATGATAAAGATAAGGATTAATTTGCAAGCATTCTTAAAATGCTGCTAGATTTAGTCATACAATATATCACTCTAAAGGCCTGTTCACCTCAAGAACGATAACCATATTTGCATCCACCCCAATGCACAATAATGTTCTGTTTATTACACTATAAGCACACACTGCAGTTTTGTCAAGCTCTTTGAAGCTGTAAAAAAAAAAAATAATAATTGTAAAAGTGATTCCAATGACGGTGTTCCTCCATTATCGTTATTGTTGTGGTGTGGACTCTGCTATTCTTTTAAATGTAGAACAATTTTTAAAACTATATCTTTATCATGATCATTATGGCCTTGATGTGAACAGGCCTTAAGATAACATTCAAATATTAATGCTATTATTCAATATGTAAATGTAACATCTAAATGAATATGTTACAAATATACACAAAGTACATTTTTCAGTACTACATTATATTATATTGTATGTTATTGTTTACTAATGAAAAAGTATCTATTTTGTTTTTTGTTTTAAATTCTAGTACAAATTACATTACCAGCATTCTAATTATGAATGATGAATAATTATAAAATTAGTTTGGGGAAAGAAAGAAAGATCAACAAAATTACATAGCACATTTTTAAGGTGGCTTCAGACTTTTGGACCCCACTGCATACTGAAAATGTCTTTTTGCTCTGCAGCCAGCTACAAAGAAGTAATAATACTCATTACATTGGGTATCTACATAAAGGTTTTCTTAACATAGGTGGTTCGTTGCAACTGGGCCCAGATTCAGTGTTTTGATCATTACATTTTCCCTCCCACAAGGTTATTCTACTCCTACAAACACACCAAAATTAGGCCTGTGGAGTTAAAAATAACAGAACTACATGATTACACTTTCTTTCAGTAAGAATATTCTTTTGTCATCTGGTATAAGACTGCTGTACAGTACTTCAGTCCTTGAAGCACCAGGATGATATTTCCTTATAAGGCCAGTGACATGTCATAAGCCAGTTTTGTTTTGCATATGTCATATTTGTTTAAGTGCATCTGAACGTTAAAAGGGCCTGAGCTTGATTCAGTACATAGGAACACACTGATACACACTTCAGGGGTAAATTAGATATTGTTTCTTAACATCAGAAGCAGGTAACAATCTATCACCCTGCTAACAGGTTGTTAAGCGGCACTACAACTTGCTAGAGATGTGTGGTCATAGTCGAACTAACAGGTTGTTCAGGCAACAACCTGTTAGTAGGTGATGGACTGACAACACAACTTCCTTTCAGTTAAGTGGTTCCGCCCACGTTGTTTTAGAAGATGTGAAAATCTTGAAACATTTAGAAGGCCAGATCATGCTGAAACTCTAACACTGAAGCCATCTGAGTAACATATAATTTCGTCTGTATGTTTTGCAACGTGGCTGACGCCCGCCTGCTCGTGCATCTCTCGCTCGCGAGTCGTGTTCAAAACAAAAACCCATCAAGGCCTAAATTAAAACAAAAAATACACGCGACACATGTAAACAGAAACACTCTTACCGGTCCTCTCCGCTTTAAAGTCACGTTTTTCCACAGGAGAAGGTGTAGCTGGTGAAGAAATCCCATTTTCGATGAGTTGGAGAATTAAGTCGCAAATTAAAATATATTATTCATCACAGTGTTGTTGTTGTTGTTTTGAGATTCCGCTCTATCTGCATTTTGCCCTCCCCGGCGTGTGACAAAGCCTAACATCCTGAATTAAGAGGGCTGGGTTTGTGAACAAAATGCACTTTAGCAGATGTAGATATTCGCATCTCACTGAGCAGTGGGCGGAGATACTTCTGTCAGCTTCAGCCAAACGTAGCGAACGAACGTTTCTTATTGCTGTAGTAACATGAGCGCGCGACCGATGTGTCAGGTAGATCAAATGTGATTTTTATGATAATCTAGCGGCTGCCTCAGATGGATTACTGATGCGCTGCTGAATCCTCATCATTCTGCGACGCCTGGTTATTTATAGAAACTCCATCAATGTGACAACATTTTAATCTCAGCATCTTTAGCTTTACTTCTGGGACTGAGGTAATCCCTTCTAGCTGGACAGACTTCACCGAGTTCACATTTTATTTTGTGGCTGTCGTGGATTGCATGAAGTCTGTGATCTTTGATCACAGTGCTGAGTGTAATTCTAGCGAGTTACCCTTGAAAAGAGTTGAGTGAGAAAAGCAAATAGCACCCTCTGCAGCATAGCACTGGTTTCAACAGTTAGGCTAGGTAAAACAGAGCTCGAGTGACCAGTTCCCACAGGCAGCACGATTTATAAAGAAAAAAAAACATGACATAATAAATATGGTCTAATGGTAAAAACAACCATTAGACACGCATCAAGGCCAGTTGTGGAGCAACTCTGTGGGGCACCATTAACTGAAGGATTATAAATATTACCAGAGGTAATAATGACAGTATGTTTATAGTTTGTAAGCAAATTGGTATGAGGGGCCGTATAGACCATAATTACTGAAAAGCCTCTTACAAACACAAGTGAAACGAAAAACATTGATAAACCTTAGTGAAATTCATTCATATGCATTACTGAAAAGCCTCTTACAAACACTAGTGAAACGAAAAACACTGATTAACCTTAGTGAAATTCATAGGGGCGGACTTAACCAATAAGCGAGGTAAGAGGCCGCTTAGGGACCCGGGGAATCAGGGGGCCCCATCTGATATTGCCGAAACATATTTACAGCGTTGAACAATGTAGCCAATCACAGACATATCTGTTAAACGCAATGACCAGAAGTGTTCAAGACAAGTTAGAATCCACGCACCACTCAAAATGCTGAGTTTGCTGAGTTCTGCAAGCTTGAGAATCCTCTCATTATAACAAAGTGTAGATATGATATAAATAAGAGATTCATTGTGCAGTGTTGAGATCCTATCATAGTTTTTATTGATATTTGAATTTGTTGTCTATGTAGTTTTTTCATTTTTATTTCAGTTTTAGTTTTTTAGTTTTTTGTATATCAAGTTAAATATTCATAGAAATGGGAAACACTTGGGAACTACCTGAAATAAAATAAGTATAGAAGTTTTTTAGATTTTGTTTTGTTTCAGTTCATGCTTATTTTATTTCAAGTAACAAAGAATGTTTTTCATGATTTTAGTTTTAGTTAACTATAATAACCTTTCTGTGACCACCTCACCACTTTGTCTTTACAGTATTTGTGCCATGCAATTAATGAAAAAAAAAAAACAGAATTGTGCCCTCTGTTGTCTGTTTGGCTTTGTACTTCTCTACAATTTCTTATCCTGGAGTAAAAACATGCTACTCTTGAGTCAGATTGAGACCAGCGGACCCAAAAGCCCAGAGTACAACATCACCATCCTCCTGTGGCACTGGCTTTTCAGAGTTCGCTACAGACTGGAGAGAGGTGTCTGTACGGATAAATATGAAATCCCTGCTTTCTGGAGTATAACCGATCCCTTTTCGCTCAAGCAGATGCTGTAGTCTTCCACCACTATGAGCTCTGGACTGGCCACTCCAAACGTCCTCTCCACCTTACGCGTCCACCAATGCAAAAGTGGCTTTGGTTATCGCTGGAACCTCCTGAACAACCACAATCTCAGCAACTACAACAGTTTGTTCAACTGGACGATGAGGTATCACCGTGGCGCTGACATCTTCATGCCATACGGAGAGCTTGTTTCTAAAAGGACTAATGCCACATTCATCACTCCGAAGAAGAGTAACTGCCTAGTTTGCTGGGTGGTCAGCAAATACAAAGCCAATCAGAGTCGCTCTCTAGTTTTCCAGCAGCTGAACAAACATTCCATCGAAACTGATAGAAGTATACGGTCAGTGGTCCAAGCGGCCGCTCTCGAACAAAAATCTGCTTTCCACAATATCTCGATGTTACTTCTACCTTGCATTTGAAAACTCAATATCCACAGACTATATCAGAGAGAAGTTGTGGAGGAACTCGCTTCAGGCAGGGAGTGTGCCGGTGGTGCTCGGCCCACCTAGGAACATTTATGAACTATCAATTCCACCAGTCATTCATTCATGCAGCATTAAGGCACTGGCTACTTTCTTAAGTCAAGTGGCCGACAATAGAGAGCGTTATGAATCTTATTTTAGATGGCACAATTACTGTGATGTTAGAATGTACACAGACTGGAGAGAGAGACTCTGTAATATTTGCATGCGTTATGACCAGCTCTCTAAGCATAAAAAAGTGTACAATGATCTGTACAGCTGGGTCAACAGGTAACTGACTTTTTCAAGGAAGCTGTTTCATTTAAAAGTGTGGAGTTTCAAAAAGTTATTTTGTGGCAAGATTTCCTTTGCCAATCACCTTATCTGATCTTTGCAAGTATATCAAGTGCATTTGAAACCTGTCTAGGGACTTCAAAGTGCTAGTAAACTGTAACATTGATTTTTCCCAGTGTTACTTTATTAATATTTAAGCAGGGGCATTTGCTTCTTTTTCCAACCTTGATTTCAGCATCAGATGTCATTAGGTTACTGAATATTGTTGTGTGCACTCAATGTGTCGGAACGCCCTTCTGACTCAATATTCACAGGTTGCTATCAAGTTTTCATCAAGTCCTCTTATTGTTTGTATATTTTCCCAATTTGTCATATGAACCAATTTGTAAAATCTCATAGGAACATTAAAATAACTTTTCTGAGACTTATTTTTTGAGACTGCCACACCTGAACACCCCCAGGATTCTGCCCCCAGAAATCTAAAATGAGTCAGAGAAGCATGCAGCTCACTCTTGCATCTGTAGGGTGTAAGGTATATGCATGCCAGGCTAAAAATCAGTTAAAAACTGTTGTGGTTTTCTTTGTGGCCATGTAGTTCTGCTTTGTGGTTCTTTCTTTATAATCTCTGGTACTGCTCATCCTCGATTAAACACAAACTTGGAGGATCTGGGGTTCCATGAGTCTTTGCAAGGTCTCTGTTAGTTTATGTTAAGCATTTATGTTAATGCAACTTTATTGCAAGATTTTGCATATCTGTCTGTAAATCATTAGCATTTTATATTCAACTCATCCTGTTTTATTTTAAAAGCTAATTTAAAAAAAATCTTCCCATAACTTCCTGTGCTAAATATTATTTTTGGTGCAGAGAAACACCAAGCTACTGTTCTAAAAAAATTGCTCTAGTGCGTAAAGATAAGGCGCCAGAGTCAAGAAACCTTCTGAATATTTCAGTGTGGTTTTGATGCATTTTCCACAGGTGGTTGTGTGAAACAAGGCACCAGATTGGTAAAAAATGGCAGTACACTGGCAGTTATGCAAAGTGTGAGTGAAACCATGCAAAGTGATGATTAACTGTTCCTACATGTTCATGCCATCACATCACATCACATCAGATCAGTAATAGTCATTGCTCTAAAGACTAAATTGATTTTATGTTGTTTTAGATCTGTGATCAACTCACCTCTTTGTCTTCACAACCTTTCTGTGCTTTTTCACAAAAGAACTACTGACATTGTTTTAATTCGGACAGATGCAAAATCAAGACGGTTAGTGCTCTGAAAAACTTCTCTTCTCTTAATGTGTTGATGTGAAAATTCTGATGACGTAACCTATGACAGTAGTGTTACAGAGCAAAAGCTTGATGTGGCCATTGCAATTTGAAACTGATGTCTTAAGATCGGAAAAATTTTACAGGGGATGAAGTCTCACATCCTCTTTAACAATGAGGTATCTTCAACTGGCTGTTTCTGTGGTTTCCTTTTATTCACCTTGTAGATACAAGGGAAAGTTTTAAATGAATCTTTTTGGCAGGTAAATTCTTGTAGAGAATTTGTATTAATATTTAGAGTAGATTTTATTTATCAGATTTCTGATAAACATGTAAAATACATAAGATTCTAAGAGTTATGTTTAAAAAACCATCAACATTTTGTCCTGGGCCCTGGGTAGAGGATCTCCTGTTTCTCTCGTCACTTTTTAATCAGTAATTCATACAATCACACATGCTCATGTTTCTGAATAGACTACAAAAGATCTGAGCTGATTTTTCTCATAAATGCTTTCAAGTTTCACTTCCTTTTTATTTTTTTGCGTTTAAATGGAAATGCAAGTAAAATGATAACGTAAACACTGATCTACTGATTGTCATTTAATCTATTGTCATTAAATTGATTTAATGACACAAAAAGACGGTCACTTGTCGCCACCTATTGGCACCATGGTGTATCCTGCAAAAAAAAAAAAAAATCTTATTTACAGAAAAAAAACACAAGATTTTAGGTATTTCAATGTTTATCAAGTCTAAGACAGAGGTTTTCATACCAAGGATGCCCACATATAATCACCTTGCTATGAACCTGCTTCATAAAATATAAAGGAACTACATATGTTCATATTTTATAAAGGCCCAATTTGTATTGTGAGAAAAGGCATGACATTATAAAGAACTTTCAAGTTTAGAGTTGTTTTCTAAATTTCTACATTTACCATTAACAATTTCACAATAAATACTGTTCTTAAGCAGCTGTAAATAACTTATTGACCTTTAACTGCCATGAAGCAAAATGAAGGAATCAAGGAATGGCAAGGAGAAACTCCGTAGAAAGCTGTATCTTTCTACAGAGTTTCTCCTTGCCATTCCATTCCAAGATAAGCTTCTGCTCTAGCTTTGTAATGTTCTAACACTCAATTGAAATTTAGTAGGCTACAGTAAGCCTAACACTACTTCCACTTCACTCTAAGGTTAAACACTAATGCTTGATTTATTCTCATTTGTTAGTCACTTTGGGTAAAATCTTCTGTCTAAATTAATACATGTAAACGTACAGGGACAATCCCTCTGGTGTAACCTGGGTTTGGTGCCTTCGATATCGGCCAGTATGTATACCATCTTTTTTCGATACTGTCCAGTCTTTACTAACATATACTGTAATTCCTTAAAGGGTTAGTTCACCCAAAAATGAAAATTAGCCTGTGTTTTACTCACCCTCGAAGCATCCTAGGTGTATATGACTTTATTCTTTCAGACGAATCCAATCAGAGTTAGCCGATATTAAAAATTGTCCTGGCTATTCCAAGCTCTATCATTGCAGCCAGCGGGTGTTGCAGTTGAACAGTCCACAAGTCGTCAAATAAAGCGTGCACATCCATAATAAAACGTGCCTCACATGGCTCCGAGGGGTGAATAAAGGCCTCCTGTAGCGAA